CGGACAGGCGGGGCAAGCACGGTCGTCACAGTCTCTTTCTGCAAAAAGAAAGGCTCAGCTCAGAGTGGCTAAGCCGCCTCCAGCAGCCGGGCCAGAGGGAGAGTGCCTTCCAGAGTGCTCCCGATACCTTATAAAGCCATGGGCTTAGGAGAGGGACGTTAAGAAGGTTCCTGACAGCTGTAAAATTCCAAACATGGGAATGACTGCTTTCTTACATAAAGCATTTTGTTCCAGCGAAAGCCCTAACCCCAGGAATGGAAACCGTCCCCTTAGGCTGGTCTGTTGACTCTGATCCCAGCCTGGAGGTAGCTCTGTGGCCCACATTTCACTCCTCGGGAGCATCGTCACGGGGAGATGTGGTGGTGGGCCAGGCTCCCCCTCCCGGGCCGGACACCACAGGGCCGGTGGCTCTGCACAGACCCGCCTGGGGTCCGAGTGTCCAGTGTGAGGCTGGGCTGGACAGACAGGGTGGGGGGGGGGGAGCTCCAGTGTCTCCTTCATTCCTGCATTTGCTTGACCCCTTTTCAAGGACTTGGGGTTCACCTGAAGCTCTGGGCTGCGATGGTTAGTCAGGGTGCTTCCCCTGGGGAAGGGGAGAAGGGTCTCTGCTCAGTGGGGCTCTGCTGTGTATCAGTGGTTTTGCCTTACTTGGCTTTTCATTTTAGGTTCAGAACTTGTCTGCAAATCTTTTTTTTTTTTTTTTTTTTGTAACAAGGCACGTAACTTCAATTTCTTTTGAAACTTTAAGTTTTATTGAGCTTCTTAGAGGATAAGTATGGATATTTTGGTAGAGTGGAAAGTATTTCAAAAGATTACTTGTGTTTTCTTCTCACGGAGGTTGGTTGATTTCTGCACTTTCATGTTGTGTGTTCTTAGTCCTGAGAGGCAAAAGGTGTTATGTGGACGGGTGTCTTGAACTTGGGAGTATGGAAATACACTGTTTGGATTTTACGTGGCAAATACTTGAGCAAGGGTTGGTGTGGCCAGGAAGAGTGGCTCCTGCCCAGGGTGGCCCTTCTACCTCGGATTCACGATTTTACCCCGGAGACTGCATGCTCAGCACAGATGCAGGGTGAGGAGGAGAGAGGGGCGCCCACGGATCCTTCAGCCTGAACTGATAGGAGAAGGAGAAGCATGTTTCCATGGTGATATGATATCATGGGATGGACTGTAGATCAGCTTCGGGCAGAGACCGGGGAGGCGTCCTGGGAGGACGGGGTGGTGTGTAAAGCCAGCCAGCCCCCATCCATCCTGTGTAGCCCTTCATCCTTTTTCCTTCTGTCTGTTGCTCCATCCATCCATCTTTCTTTCATCTGTCAATCATCTCTCTCTTCCTTCTATTTCCAACTTACCTGTCCTTGTTACCGTATCAGTGCAGAAAACCTCGCTGGGGGCCTCAGGATGAGGGGCAGAATGGAAGAGCCCCCAGAGAGAGAGTCTGCTTGTGTAAATTCACAGTGAGAGGTTGTTACAGATAATCTGGGAGACTGCGGTCTACCTGATGCTAAAGTCGTTGCAGACTTAAAAGTAACTGGACTTATTCCATGAAAATGTGGCAAGAACATTTTTAGCCCTGTTGCATGGGGCGCCTGAATGCCCCTGGTCCCTTGGCACAGACACTGGATCCTTTTGGGGAACACACACTGAAGCTGTTGTCTCAGACGATTTAATAATGGAGGCATTGAGGATCCCTCTCTGCCTCTTCCCCAAAGGATCCCTAAACAGTTAAATAATCACCCTCTGTTTGCCCCGATGATGAGCGCGGACTTCGTCCAGATGCTTATTGAAAGTCACTGTGACATTCGTGTCGAGTGGTGGCTTGTGTGGCTAAACCCACCGACACGCAGTGCTCGTTTGTGAAACCGTGGGTCTGGGGCTCAGCTCTGTAGGACGCTGGCCCCGAAGGCATTGCCCGTGTTCTGAGGGAGTCACTTGCATATGTGACCAAAGCAAGCTGGCAGCAGCAGTCCAGGGCCTTGTGAGGAAGGCACCGCCATGACCCCTGCAGAGATCTCTGCGGCCGGAGCCCAGGGCTGGGATGGCCCTGTGGGGGCGTGTTCTGGGCAGGTGGCCAGAACGTGATCACGTCCGTGTTGGCTGCAGTGCATGGTTTCAGGTGCGGCTTCAATGGGAAGTTGCTTGGGATTTGGTCAGAATTTGTTTTCTTAGATCAGGGGACCTCGGCCAGAAACATGAGTGCTATTTGTGTCTGTTTCTTCCCTCTAAAATCAGCTGTTGTAAGGAAGAAGGCTGTGTGGGGCATGTAGGACGGGGCTGGGAAGCTTGTCCGTCGGGGCAAATCCCTCTGACTGTGGGCCGTGCGGTCTGGGCTGTTCGCAGCCGTGTGCCAGGGCAGCACACGGGTTTGTGGTTTGTACCTGTAGTTTGCCGACCCTGACTTAGATGAAGTTATTTGATAAAACGTGTCTCTCTTTCCACACTTGTAGGTTTGGGGAGCTGTTAGCACCCCGGGGTCTCTGAGAGTGGTATCCGGAAATCCCCAGAGCGCCGGTTGCTTAGCACGATTTCGTGGTGGGGCTACACCGAGTCACCTGCTCGGAGCGTTGCTCCTCCCACCAGCAGCCCTCTCCGCGCCGGGCCCGGAACCCGGGGAGTGTGCTCTGAGAACACCACTGGCATCTGACTTCGTGAAGAGTGTGTTTTCTCTTGGAAAGGGCTTGTTTTCCTTGAGGCTTAAGGTCTTCATAAAGGGAGCTTCCTGAAGTAACAGTTGAAACGGAGGTTCCTTGTGGTCGGTCTCCGCCGACAGTTAGGTGAGGACCTGCTCCCCCGCACGTCAATGTTCATCTGAGAACTTTTTGAAACTTGAGCTGAGTTTTGGGTGCAGAGCACACCGTGGGAGGTGCTGGCCTACCCGGCTGGGACTCGGGCGCACGACTCTGCGGAGCAGCCTGGGGGCCTGGCCAGCACAGGTAAACAGTCGGTGTCCACCTCGTGCTCGGGAGGCTGTGTGTGCGCTGGCCCCAGCCCTCACCCACCTGTGCGCTCCTCTTCCTGGCCCTCATTTCATCCCCCCCCCCGCCTTGCAGGGGGCACAGGGGCCCTGAGTCTGCGCAGGGCTGCCAGGGGCCACGGCGGGTGCAGGGGCTGTAAATTGCAAGGGCACTGGCTTCCTCGGTAGCGCTCTTCTCAGAGAAGGTGCGGGGCAGCAGCGCCGGGGCTGGGAGGAGGCTCGCGGGTCCTGCCGCCGTGTCCTCGGTCATCAGAGCGGGAGGCTCCTCCTTGTCCGCGAGCAGGACCGGCAGCTTCAGCGGAGCCCTGGGGCTTGGCTGCTTTTCTGACGCTGCCCTCAGGTCGAAGTGAAGACCCTGGGAGGCCTGGTCCCCGTGGGCCGCCCCCACCCCCCGGCTGGCGTGGGCCTGCCTGGACCACAGGGCTTCCGGGCATTGGTGATGCTCCTTCTGCAGACTGGTTTTGTCCTGTTTTCCCAGAGCCAGATGTCTTCTTGTGTTTAATGTTTTTATTTATTTTGAGAGCGCGAGTGCACGCAAGCAGGGGACGGGCAGAGAGAGGGAGAGAATCCCAAGCAGGCTCCGCACTGTCAGGAGAAAGCTCGACTGGGTGCTCCAGCTCCCAAACTGCGAGATCGTGACCTGAGTCGAAATCAAGTGTCAGATGCTTAACTGACTGAGCCACCTTGGTGCCCCTTGTCTTTAATGTTAAGAGGGCTGATAGTCCCGGGCACAAGTCAGAAGGCGTGGACCATGACCACCGCTTCTCAGCCAGTACCCGAATTCGGTAACTTACTCTGTTTTCATGATAAATCACAAACGTGCTCCCGAGTGTGTATATGCACACGGGAGGTTTTGCTTGTTGAGATCTTAGGCAACCTTTTAAAATGGGGGATTTGATGGAGCATCTGCAAAAGCAACTGAGCAGACTTGGTGCTTAGCTGTGTTACGGTGCAGCCGTCACACACATACACCTAAGGGCCGCGCACCATCTGTGTATCGATAGTGGCCGCTGACACGCCGTCAGCGTCAGAAGTGCCCATCAGTTGATGGTGGGATATGTTTTCCATAGACTTATGTTTGAAAACTAGGTGTGCATTTCCCCACAGAGTGAGCTGTGTTTGTTAGGTCGGTCGTTGTCAGTCATCACGCACGCAGGGGGCCTGTGGTTCACTCAGATCCCGTGAGCGTGTGTCACTAGAGAAAGCAAATTCACCAATTTGTGTATGACTCATAAGTTTTCATTTGCTGTATTTTTATTAAAACTTGAGTTTTTAAGTTCTTCTGGGAATGGTGGGTTGATCAGGATATTAGGAAAAAATAATCACAAAATATTCAGGAGCAGACCCGGCGTTTGTGTATATTAGTGATTCTCCTTTGTCCCAGGTACTCTGCACTTGGGGAAGGGTCAGCATGGTGACCCCCCTGCTCTTCTGTGTGTGAACCTCTGGCTTTAAAACTTCAGGTTTTGCTTTAAGGATAAGCACCTTGCTCACATACTTTTGATTTTTGTAGGTCCCACATTTTCTTGCTTTATTTTATTTCATGTTTCATCTGGTCTGAGTCACTTATTTTCATAAACACCCTAGCAGTGTAGTGTCTGTGGGGCCAACGAGCAGGTTGGTCAGTGGAGGAAGATCCTAATCAGCAGTGGTTTCGGTGGATATTTATCCTGTGTGGAAACTCGCACAGTTTCTTGTTGGCTAAAGCTATCGGGAGTCATGCAGGCCGGGGGCCTTTATGCTGGGCCCATGTGCATAAAGTCACAAGACTAATTCTGGGTCCATCAAAGCCAGAACCCTGTGAGGAGCGGCTGGGACAAATGTGAGCCTAGTGAGAGTTTTGTGTCTTAGAGGACTGTTGGAGCGCCGGGAGGGCCAAGGCGAATGACGTAGGTGCTTCCTCTTTGAATTATAATTGCAAGGCAAACAGAAAACACAAAGGATGTAACTTGCGGCGTCTTAAAGTCTGATGAGTGACCCACTCGTCGTTGAGACCAAGCTGAATGCCTCTTTCCTTCTCTTACAGGCGACATCACCCAAAAAGGATATGAAAAGAAGAGGTCAAAACTAATTGGAGCCTACCTGCCCCAGCCTCCGAGTATGTACCTTTCATGCATACGTAAAGCATCTAATTTTAAGAGTTAAGTGTGACGTGAAAGAGAATCTGCTGAGTGCAGACCCTTCCTCAGGCCCAGCCTGCACCAAAGTCACACTTCTGATGTGCTGGCCCTGTTGAACTCTTCTGTGTGACTGCACATGTTTTGTGGATACAGAGGGACACACTTGACTTTTCTATAAATGTGTGTAATAAATTTAATAGGTATTTCATCTGTAGAAGGCAAGAATACGTTGATTACTCTAAAATACTTATTATAAACTAAAAATATGAACATTTGCGATGTAAACGTGACTTTTGGTTTTAGTGAGTTAAAAATTATTGCTGTTGATTATAGTTTAAACTAACCCAAGGTTTTTGTCGGTGTCACAAGGGGGTGGATCTAGAGTCTAGAAACCGAGTAACACCCTGGTTGGAATTATGAGATGGTAAAGGTTGGTTGTGTTCGGAAATGTGATTGTAAAATGCCGTGGCTTCTTCCCCTGAAGTACAAAGTGTGTTTCACGTGGGTGTTTCCCATGTGGAGGTTTGTAGAATCTCTGTGCACTTGAGTTGCACTCTGCACATTTAAGGGAAAGGAAAATGCTACCAGGTTGGAGTTGCAACACATTTGTTCTGGTGGAGGCGTGGTTTGGTCAGAGGCGACCTTGAAAATCAGCTAGGCTACAGGTGTGGTTTCAATCTGACCCAAGTCCTCAAGAATAAAGGATAGCAGCCTTAATCATGAAGGTGCTTCCTGAACTCCCTAGTGTTCACTGTTGAAACATCATGTGTGAAGCCCAGTGGAGAGGTTCAGATCTGCAGGTGCACACGGCGCACAGACCCCACTCTGTCCCTCTGCTCTCCAGGCTGTGACACGTCCAGCTGGTGTTCCGTTAGCTTGGCAAGGGGTGCTTCCCACAGAAGCGTTCCAGGGAACTGAATTTGTGTGTGGAGTCTCCATTGTGTTTGTAGTTTTGTTTTGACTCTGTGTATTTTTCTTTCCTCCCTCGATATTTAAGAAGTTAATGTAAAGGTGGGCGTGTTGTGTTGGCCTGACGTAGCTAACGGGTTGGATTTTCCTGTTGTCTGGCTCACGGAAGGGAGAAGCTCTGTTCTGTTTGGTGAATTAAAAATGAATCCGATTTCTGGCTGGCTGACACCCACGTGTGAGAGGCTTTCAGAGCAGATGCGGGCAGATGGCCATAGTCTTCTAACAGAACCGCCAAGCTGACGACCGGCTCCGTGGCCCGTCCTTGTGAATTCCTTTCTGCAGGAGGCGCCTCCACGTCTCGGAGGAGGGCCGGTCGTGGCAGATGGGGGCTCTTGACACTGTTGGGTTTTAATTCCCATGACTTAGCAAACAGAAATGAAACAGAAGCGGTGCCGCCGGTCCCCGGAAGGCATTCTTGAGCCATGGCGGTGCAGAGGCCGTGGCTGACCCGTGCTGGCTGGGCGTTGAGGGCGGCCCCGTGTCGCGTGGTCCTTTGGTGTTCTTTGTGCCGTTCTGCATGGGGTCGGCAGCTCTGCTCAGTGCTGTAACAAATTAAAAAAAAAAAAAAACGAAAGTTTGCATTAATTAGTTTTTTTCAACTTGTTACAGCAGCGAACGGAGCTGCCGTGGTCCGGTGTAGACTGCAGCACAGTGAAGGAGCCCCGGGAAGAGCGCTGCACTCCGGCAACATCGGGGTGTGTGACATCCGAGAAGCCGCGGTCAGAGAGCGGGCGGCCAGCACCGCGGGGAACCGGCCGCTGTTTTACTTTCGCTTCGGTGAGCGCACTCCCCTGAGAGAGACCCGGGGGGGGCCTCCGGGGCCGTGCACCCCCAGCGTGGGGGACCCGAGCGCGTGCTGGCTCGGGCGGGGCTCCGGGCTCGAGCCCCAGCCCCTGGGTGAGCTCGTGTGACTTGGCGCGGGCCCCGCCGCCCCTTGATCACAGAGCTGGTCATGGTCCCCAGACCCTGATTATCCCGCTGCCTCAGGGCCCAGTTCAGAGTCTTTTCTGTGAAAATATAATCCGTGTTTTATAAACCTATTTTCACAGTTGGAGCACCATTTACAAAACAGTTGAGAAAGAAAAATGCATGATAAATCATAAAATTCTAGTTGAAATGGTTGGTCTTCCACTACCCTGTGTCCCTTGTCTCAGCGAGGGAGTGCTGGGCCGCTCTGGCCCGAGCTTTGCTCGGGGACAAGGTCTACACTGTAGCACAATCCCATTTCCAAAGGGTGCCACGCCGTTAGAAAATAAGAAAACTGAGCCAGTGATCCTAGTGTGTGTTCTCAGAGGTATTGAGCCTATTCAGAGGCGGAAGTTACTTCAGTGGGCAATATTTTTGAATATGAGAGGCCCCAAATGTGAATTGAATGCATCTTTTAGTAGAATAAGAAAATCAATGTTTCTAAGCTTTAGGTTTACCTTCAGGGTTTAATCCTAAATAAAAGCCATTATTTAAAAATCAGGAGGAAGTAAGAGGGATGAATTTAATGTTGCGTTGGCCCTAGGGTCTCAGACCTCGATCACTGCTCCTGCCCCTCTTCTCTGGGCCAGCTTGGTGACAGAGGAGCAACGTGGGAGAGTGCGTAGGGGAGTCGGCTCTAGCTGCGGGGTCCACTTCACGGTCTACGTAAGCCTCACGGCCCTGACCGCGATGAGTGGAAGAGGCATCTGCTTGGGGCTGTGGGGCCGCTGCTCTAGGGCCCGGGTCCCCCGCGTCCCATACACCCCGTGAAGGGAAGGCAGGTCCACCCATGATTCTAGGTGCCGGAGACCAGGTTCCCGGTCAGTTTTGCAGTTTTCTCTGCTCATCTTTGTTTCTGAGTAATTGCCTGGGTGAACAGTCATTCATTATTTGGAACTTGGGCAAGCAGCGTGGAAAGCAGAAGGTTCTCAGAGTGTTATTCCTTGGTGAACTCAGTCTGAGAAGTCATTCTCGTGGGGTAGGATCTCATGAGAAGCATCTTGTTGGTCAGGACCCTAACTTGCCCTACATTTTTATACAAGGGGACTTGTGTTTGGATGAACTACTTTTTTGAATGTTATTTTTACTTATCAGAGAAAATATTAACACTTCTAGAAAGTATCCTATAAATATTCCTAAGTTGGGGTTTGGGACACACAATTCTGAATCAGAATGGCTTGTGCGGGCGTCCAACATCCGACCACGGGGCCAGAGTCCGGGGAGCGTGCCCCGACGCAGGCTACTTCCTGGTCCCGTCTGCCCGGGAGGTAACTGTGTCCTTCGGGAGCAATGTTGAGCACTACCTTAAATCCAGATGAGAAAAAGTATGCCAGAAGCTAGAAGGAAAAATGAAAATTGTGTATTTAATGAAGGGTCAGAAAGAATATATTGAAGATCATTTTCAAGGAGGAAGTCTTACTTAGGACTTACTCATTTGGTACTAGGGCTCCGTGAGTGTCCCTCCCATTCATCCCTAAACTTTATAAAACTTAAAAAACAGGAGAAAACTCCACTCTACCAGTCTCTTTAGGCACATTTCTAATACTGAGTCTTCACTGCCCTGTCACAAAGCTGTGGGGACGTAATTCCAGTGTTACCATAAGTGGTGAAACTTTCCTCGACCAAATATAGTTCTTCTTTCTAATAACACATGCGTTAGCTGAATTTTACTTTCTTGGGGACTGTCCAGGCATATTTCCCAGCGGTGAGTGGTTTATGTGGGTCTGGTCTACTCTGTGTCCAGCCTGCCTTTCAGTTACAAGGACTTTCCATGATTGCTTGGTTGTGGAAATCTGGGCGAATTCTGCTAATGAGACCAGGGGGCTAGTCTGTCTGCTTCTTTCCTGCTCCCTGGGAATCGGCTGTGGGACCCACATAAATGGCCCTTGCAGGGGGGACCTCTCTCAGTTAGGTTGACTGTACCAGGTTTGCTCCTATCGGAGATGGCAGACGGCCATGCACAGAGTGTAACTGAGTCTGTCTCTGCACATGGCCATCCTGGCCCCTCTTCAGCCTCACAAACCTTCCTGCTGCCCAGCTCTGTCCGAAGTTCACCTGTGTCCAAGGCCGGTGCTCTGCACATGTTGGTGCCCTCTGCCTGCATCTGTGCATCGTTTGAAGCTCATGTCAAGTGTCACTTCTGCAAGGAAGTGACGGGTTAGGACAGGCCCCTACATGACATCCTACTTCTGAAATAATTACGAACTTGTAGATGGATGGTGGTGGTTGAATATTTGATGATTCCACCCCCACCAGGAACAAGTAACCATCGGCACGTTGCAGACCACTTGCTGCGGGGCAGGCCAGCTGTACAAGTACAGATAGCAGGCTGTGTGTCCTGCTGGCCACAGCCCACACGTGGCAGCAACACAGACGTGTCCAGTGGGTGTTGGTGCTCAGTGGGTGTGAGGGAGCCCAGCTGAGGGCAGAGCCGGCAGTCAGTGGTGGTGCTCAGCTCTGCGTGATGCCTCAAACATCCAGACAAGCGGGCCTGTCTCCTATCCGTGAGCACAGCTCTATTTGATTTCCGGTTTGGGTGCATTTAAGTGTTAAGGGTGACACGTAGTGCTCTCATTGTTTCCATAGCTCAGTGGTTAAAGAGTAACGTAATTCGGGGCCTCTGCACACCAGTCAGCTGAACTGTGTTTTTATCATTATCGTGAATCCTGGATTTCAGCTCAACCACCTTCAGACTCCCCGTCCTGACGAGAGGCCCGCATGGAGGCTGCTGGATCTGAAACCTAGTTGATAAGTTGTCTGCTGGGTTTGCAGGCTTGCTCAGGAGTCTTCTGCAAGGGGCAGAGCTCACAGCTTGTGAACTGTGCACTTCATAGTCTGACAGAAGGTGAACTTTCTCGTCCTTTGCTGAAGGACACCGGAATGTGGTACCATTGTGTTCCAGATTCAGAGGTCTGAGCGTGCCGGTGCTGCGATCCCCCCAAGACGGGCCGGCCGGTTCTGGTTCTTCGCATGAACAGCCACCGTGCTGTTCTGGTGCCCAGTGCACGATTTGGTCCATCTCTTCTTTCTGCAGCAGGAGTTAACATCTCCCAAAGTGCAGCCTTTGGTCCGGAAGCCACGTTTGCCTGTCCCAACCTGGGCTTTAGGACGCGAGCCTGTCCCTGGGACCTCCTCAGCCGAGCCATGCCGTGCCGTTTGTTCATGCTGGGTGGGGTGTAAGCTGCAAGGTTAACTTGCAGAGGAAACAAATAGGTGTTTAAATCAGGTTGACAGTCTGACTTAGCATGAAGTCTTTCCAGATTGACTTGCTGTAGGAAATGAGTTTTCCTCAGCTAGAGGTAAACTACCTGTGTCTTGGGGAAGCCATCCATGGTCGTGATCTGGGTACACAATTTGCTGCTGTCATTTGCCCGAGAAGTACTCTTGTTTTGTCACACACAGCCCTGGTTTGGTCGGGTGGATTTCCCAGTATGTTGCATGGTGTTTTGCCACGCGGGTTCTTCCTCCCTGAAATCAGTGGCCACAGCAGCGAGGCAGCCCCTGGACTTGAGCAGGGCTGGCAGCGGGGTCTCTGATCACCCACCCCGGCAGCGGGAGCCGTGGTCACTCTGGACCTGGCTCGTCTGGGCGTGTGCGCAGAGCCTGTGAGGTGTCTGAGGAACGCAGTATTTGAAGCCCTGCTCCTGACGTCACACGCTCCGTCCTTTCTGAACTTCTCTTATCGATGAGCAGAGACCGAAAGTTTGGTTGCACTTAAAATTCTCTAACATTCCGGATCTTCTGCTCTTTTCCACATTATGATCTCTAATCAAATTAAAACACGTCAACAAGAATATTGTAGCAAGTTCACACTGATTTTTGGCAAGGACTTCTGTTTTGAGAGGTAGAAACAGAAGTGGCAGAAACACAAGATCCGGGCTGACAGGGTAGACTTTCTGCCTTTCTGTGCTGTGTTCTCATCTGAGTCCGTACAAATCAGATGTAGTAAATGTCTTTATCTGCATGCACCATGATTGTGCTGCTTATTTTCTGGCAAAGGCTTGATTGCACTTGTTTTAGAAGTAAGTGTGGTTTTTGAGAGGATAATTAGGTACTAGAAGAGTAGGGGACAATCCAGAAATTGCTTCTGTACAGACTTGAAATCTGGAAAAGCCCTCAGCAGTTTTGCCAGGTTCCTGAAGCAGGACGTGCATATGTCAGGCCCGTGGATGCAGTGGGCTGTGCCAGGCACTGGGACCCACAGGCGCTGTCTGCCGGGGGGCAGGACCAGAGAGTGTGTGTCCCAGCAGGGGTCCTGGGGTGTGTCCCTCACAGGCGACTGTGACCGTGTCTGCACCCCAACATTCATGGGAGCTGAGGTAGTGGCCGAGGGATTTGTCTAGTTCCACATGTCGTAAGAATCAGACCAAAGTCTGGATCAAGGTCTTTTGGTTTTGAATCCCACATACATTTTTCCTCAAGTCATCTTCTGTGTATCTTTCATGATTTCTTTTGAAAATATGTTGAAAACCAAGATCTATCACTCTATTTCCCTTGCTATCTGATAAAATCTTGATGTTTTCTGGAACATCTGCCATCCTGAATGACCCCGTGTTGTCTACACCACAGGTCTCATGGCCTGTGCCACATGGTACATCAAAGTACTGGAGCCCCCATGGCCATATTTCCGGTTACTGTGGGGATTTTTGTGGTTTCCAGTGTCTGGTTCCTGTGGTGGTGATGAACTCATTGCATGTATTTGAGGGTCTGGAATCAGTGGATTGTTGAAGTGACAGAACCGTGTTGTCAGGAATTTTCTTCAGTGAGTCCTTTGTTCATCACGTGTAGGAAGTGGTGCGGCTGAAGTCAGGGGCCTGTGTCCCTCTCTCCCAGCCTGGCTGCCTCCCTCCTAGGCTCCTGGGATTCCTTCCTCTGATGAGTCGTACTTAGTGTCCCTTTGCAGCTCTTGAGGAAAACCGAAATCCCACGGTCTTATCTGAAGCCTTGCAGGAGCCTCACGAGGCCCTGCACGTGCCGTGAAATGTCCCGTGATGGTTCAGGAACACCACTGAGCCCCCCTGCGGGCCAGGGGCCATTCGGCCCTGGGAGGAGATGAGCGCACAGACATCTTAGCTCCTGACTGTGGCCTCCCGAGTAAGAGGACAGAGACCACACTGTTGTCAGACGACCTCACAGCTGTCGGCGGCCTGGATTTCACTCCCGGTCAGCAGTGTGTCCTGAGAAGATCACTGGTGGACGAGTTGTCTGCCAGTGAGATCACAAAGGCACTTCTTGGTGGCTTCAAGGTACCAGCTAGATTCACCCGTGACCGATGGTTACCGTATGGGAAGCACAGCCCCGTGCAGCAGCACACGGCCTCTGCCACGAGGACCTGGCCACCAGAGTGTTCTTCTGAGCCCAGGGCACTGGGAGGGGTCGCCCATCTCAAGGGAAGGGGCAGCTACCTGAGAACATTCACGTGCTACTTGAGAGTGACGTCGCCGTGTACAGATGGGAAACTGAAGCCCAGGGTCACAGTGGTGGGTGTCTGAGAGGATGTTGTCCTGGTGCTTAGTAAGTGTCCGGGAGATAGTTCCTCTCCATCACCATCATGTTTTTGCCTGAGAAGAGTTAATTTCCTGCCTGCAATTTGTATGTTTCTGGAGGGTTACCCTGCCTCCCATGAGAGGGCTCACCTTCCAGGGACGTCGCTCAGATGCGACTCACACACCCTGTTGTAGGCACTCTGGTCGTCCTGTGCTTTTCCCAAGAGCTGGTTTCCAGTTGCGGTATGAACATGGGTCCTCGGCTTGCTGTGTGCTGCGCTCTGTGTGTTTGAGTACTGACTCGTGTACTCATGTTACTTTACGTACCCAATGGGAGGGACCCTGAGTTATTACCCCTGGGTCCTCCTGTGGCGACAGGTTGGAAATTATGATCTGCAGTTGCAGATTTGACTAATGGCCCCCTCTCGCCACAACATACCTCCACACTACTTCAGATTTCATTCGCAGTGAGGTCAGATAAAAATTAGGGATGGAAATGTGCACACTACACTAATATTTGTTTATTCTTAAATGTTCTGTTGCCAGTGACCTGTTGAAGCTATCTCCTTTTATCAAATTAACTAATTTCTTTTAAAACTTGTGCTGTAAGCTGTGAACTTCGGCCTGTGAAGTTAAATGTGCACTGTGTTTGCATGTGAAATTGGTGGAGGACAGATGTGCGCCTCCCTGGACAGGTGGGCGCCCGTCTGTGTGCCGTGCCTGTGTTTCCCACCTGCGGACCGGGGAGGGGGAAGGTTAATTAATGTAATTCCAGGAAGCATGTTGGAACGCACCAGGTCTGTAGCAGGGCTGAGATTGAAGCCACACTTGAACATGCACATAAATGGGCACTCTGAGCTCGGCAGCTTGAATGTGCACATTTAGCTCTGCTTCCCAGAACTGCTCCAAGATGTCTGTAAACGGAGGAAGTGTCATCCACAGGACAGAAGAGTGGGGGAGACGGTGACAAGATTTTACCATCTGTGGGGGTGATGACTGGGGTGCCCAGTTTAGCAGGGGGGAAGGTGGCAAGTAGCGGCACTGGTTTCATGCGCACCATGTGGGGGGTAGGCTTGGCGCCTCAGAAACATGTGATCCATGTCTTCCCCCTCTCCCCCAGAGGTGTCTGTTCTCTGGAGAAGTGGAACTGAGAGCCTCTAGACTTGGGGTACCAGGCAGTGCTGAACCCAAGCGTGCGCCCTAGAGGGTAAGAACAACTCCAGCCCCGAGTGACAAATGCTCCTGTGTTGACTCACAAGACAGGACTGGAGGTTCTTCTTTGGGTAATGGAACAGCTCAGATAAAGATCTGCAGGGAGATACGGTGATAACCTCACCTTAGGAGGAAGACACAGGCTTGCGGCTCTTTCGACGGCAGTAGAGAAATAATTGTGAAAGTAGACAGAAAAGCAAAGAAAAAAACCAGATTTTTCATATACCTTCAGAATGATATTGAACTTCTTAAGAACAATACTTGACATGAGAGGTAATGAATGTACATAACTTTAAAACTTGTTTTAATGTATGCTTATCTTAGAGAGAGAGAGAGCATGTGAGCAGGGGAGGGGCAGAGAGAGAGGGAGACACAGAATCTGAAGCAGCTCCAGGCTCTGAGTTGTCAGCACAGAGCCTGATACGGGGCTCGAACTCAAGAACCGTGAGATCATGACCTGAGCCAAAGTTGGAGGCTTAACCAACTGAACCACCCAGGTGCTCCCACATAAATTTTAAATAAATCTGTTTATACACATTTTCAAGATTTTAAATTTATACATAATTTCGCTTAGTCTCACAGGCAAAGGCAAGTTCTGGGGGTGAGGGTGCTCCCTGGTGCTTCAGCAGGTGGGGACCAGCCAGCCTGCGTTAGATCAGGAGGGGTCAGCAGGAGGGTCTCAAAGGAAGAAGAAAATGAAACTAAGACTGTTACCAGGTTATCAGTGATTGCCCATAGCAGGGAATGCATTGGAAAGGTTTTTCATTTCTGTTGGGATATTTTGAAGGATTTAACAAGAGGTACATTGAAAATCAACATGATGGAACCCAAAGATACAAATATTAACCCCAGAATAATAAAAGCATGTAAGATAGAAGGGTATTCGCAGCACACTGTTGCTGACTCATGATCCTAGTAATGGTGTAGTGATGGCCACACTGGTGTGCAGAAGCCATGTATTGTCTAAAATGGGTAATTAAGAGGGATTGTTAAATCCATGCTTATAAGTATGAATGTAAATCCCACCACTTTTCATTATGACTTAATAGTACTCCTTGATTTTATAAATTCTGTGTATCTGTTTAATGAGGATCCAGAGTATTTTTTTTTTTAAAGATGATTCGCAGACTGTAACTGGATGAGGTTTGGTAGCTGTGAACTGTTGTGTTGTCAAGAAGTGTGAGTACACCTGCTAGACGGAGAGCTCACAGGAGCTCAGCAGGTGACCGGAGTGGGTGTCTTCGGCACAGCGCTTACAGTTACCCGTACAGCTAGTCTGCAGTGAGTCAACCTAACCTGTCAGTAGCCACAGCATGCCGCCGGGAATTGAGGTGCGGGAGTACGTGCAAGTGTTGATATCAGGGTCGGAGTTCAAGCCTCACGCTGGGTGTAGAGCCTACTTCAAGAAAGAAGAATTGGGGTGCAGAAATCACCAGCATGAGAGGGGTATTAAATCCCTGGTGTAAATAACTAATGGAGCCACGATGGAAGACCAGGAACTAAATAGTCTCTGGTGAGGCTGCTGTCTCTGGTTTACTTTCTCTGTCAGGGTTTGCTGGTCCTCTTCTGAAGAAGGAACAATTACTGTTTGATGCTCAGCACTCAGGATGTCTTTACTCCTGAACTGTAATGATGAAATCTTTCTCACCGTACTTAGTTTTATCTAGATTGTGTTTCTTGCTGTTCTAGTTCCGAACTATAACAGGTATCTTGGTTGCCAGATTTAGGTCAGTCTTTGTACCTATCAGGTCATTTTTATCTGACTATTTTCTCATTTTAGGTAATTCATCAAAGCCATATTGAAATAAAAAATTTTCAGTTCGCATCAAATGGAATAAGATCGCAGAGTTAGAAATTTTGAATGAACAAAGACGAGCATTTATGCTCAGTCCTGGTACCTGAATTGTATTGTTAACATATCCTATAAAATTATTTCATAGGTAACTAAAATGATAAACATTTCCTCAAGAATTAATATAACCCTTTCTATATGTGTATTACATAAAGAAGATCACAACTTGATTTGTTGGGCTCTGTTTTTCTTACCCATGTTCTAGAAACTTCAGTCTCTTCACATGACCTAATAGATGTTTGTGCTATAAGGGAGGCTATGCTGGTGTCTGAAGGCTGTGGCGTTGCGGCGTGAGCCTGCCCAGGACACTTCTCCCTCTCCTGTCCACTGTCCGTGACATCCCCAGCCCTGCCCCCTGCCCCCACGTCCTCGTGTGCTCTAGCCTGGCTGTAGGCATGCAGTGAGTCAGGGCTGGAGTCTACCAAGTGATTTACTCTGTGAAGTGAATGAACTTTGGCTGCCAAGTAAAGCCTTCTCTTACTTTGCTGTTTCCCTTAACGCAGGGGTGGATCAAGCTTTGCCTCCTGAGCGCCGGGCTCCGGTCACTCCTGCCTCTTCCACTCGCTATCACCGCCGCAGGTCCTCAGGGTCACGAGATGAACGCTATCGGTCGGGTAAGGTACCATGCGGCCATGAGGTCACTGACCCCCTAGTCTGTGATGCGATGGTGAAATGGACGGGTGGATGCATGTCTGCAGCAGCTGTGTGGTGATCAGGCGGAAGTGCGGTGTGTTTGAATATCCTTTGGTTGGTTGTGTGATCATGGCTGGTGACATCCTACGTCATAAACAAATATACCCTCAGGAGTACACATTAAAACTTAGTAAAAAGTGACTCTTTACATTCTTAGAGATACCATCTGCTATTTAGAAATTCATAACAATTGAACAGTAATCTCCCAGGAGCCAAATTTTGCTTTTTTTAGGTGTTACTATTCAGCAATTTGGTTTTACTTTTTATTATCTTGGTTGCTAGTATTATTATTTGCCTTTTAACCTCAGGATTTCTGTTTTTCAAGTAGTTTTCAAAAAAGAACATTCTTAAACTTTCCTATGTTCTCTGTTATTTCCTTTGTGTTTTATGGGGCTGTGTCTTGGTAATTCCGTTCTGTTGCAGCCATCGCCTCAGTTTGGCCGGCTTGCATTTCTTTCATTAATTTGGCATCAGAAAACTTGTATGGTGATGAATTTCTAATTATGTTTTAAGAGATTTTTTTCCCCAACATCTATATTAAAGTTGCTTTTTCCTGCTTCCCTAACTACAGTTTTTAAGGAAAATTATGAGTAAGTGTCATTGTTCATGCCACATATGGATTGCTAATGATAGCAGTCAAAAGATGATGCTTCTGCCTCACTCCTATTTACTATTTAGCACAGCACTTTCACAGGCTCTGTCTCATGTGGTTTTTATAACCAACAGGTGACATACTTACTTCTCCTTCATGTTGGAGAAGAGGAAGCTGAGGATATGGCACAAGGCAGCTCAGGCACTCCACCCCAGGGCCGGGCTGGTCAACCACACAAGGCTCTCGGTTCTGTTTCACATCTCGTTCCAGTAGTGGGGGTGACAGGATGGACCCCCCCTCCTTTCCTATAAGGAGCTGTCTCCCTGACATCCTGGCTGGGCTCCTTCCCAGGAGGGAGGAAGGGGTCGGGCAGATGTTATGGCACCAGGGGTCATCATCTGTGGAAGAAGATTGGGCTTGAAAGGCAGCCAAGGCCAAGGGCTGCCTGTTTGCCCCACGCTCCCCGGGTGCCTTGGTGTGGGGATGGAATGAAGCAGCAGCTGGTTCTCAACTTCACCTTTTGTTTCCCAGAGATGTTCGAACAGCCAGCATGTATCAGGAGTCTATCCTCATTCAGGTGTCACAGGCCTCTTTCAAGTAGTCGAGGGGTAGAGACATGCACACACGTGCTGTCAACCCTCTGTGAAATGCTTCCGCTACCTCACTGTCTTGATGTTTTATGTGTGTGTACACATGGTCATACGTACAGTAAGCACAAGTATGGACACGTAAACACACAGTCACACGTATGGTAGACTCACAGGTATAGACACCCATGTGTACACACACTGTCACATATACAGTAGACACACAGGTACTGACACCTAGATGCACACAAAGTCACAGGTATAGTGGACACAGGTACCTACTTAGACATGCATGCAAACACATGTTTGTGCACACACAGCCCCGTTTTGGACACACATACGTAGATACATATGTAGACACATGACCACACAGTAGATACGGGTACCTATATAGATACACATGCATACACACACCAATGTACATATAACCCCATAAAGTAAACACATATATAGATACACATGTAAACACACAGACTCACATACAGACACATAGGTACACGGGCACATGTGTAGACACACAAACATAACCATGTAGACACATAGGTACACACATAGACACGTGTAGGCACAAGTGTAGAACTGTACACACAGACACATGCGTAGACAAGCATGTGGACACTGACACAGACCCACGTAGATGTGCAGACGCATGTGGACATGCAGACGCGTGCACATGTACACACACGTTTTCTGTCACTGGCATCTTCAGTTCTCAGACTAGTCAAGTGTTCTTTTTTCCGTTTTCTAGTTGAGAAGCCAGAAGTTCAGGGAGGTACGTGATTGTTAATGATAGCCCGGTGAATAGCTCATCAAAACAGGATGCAAGTGTAGCTTTGTCTGGTCTATTATCTGGCTTCATACCACATAGAAAACAGCAACTTCTCTTATGCTCTAAGCTCTAACTTTGTGTTAAATTTGTTTTTAATTTAGATGGAAATTAGGACCTAGCACAGTCTGTTTCCTATGTTACCTCTCTTTCCTAATGAGGAGGGGTGGGGATGTTAACCCTGAGTTTACCTGGCCTTTGCTAAGGTATATTTTCCCAGACCTCCTGGCTATTGTAGGAGACAGGCCAGGTGCTGGCTGCCTGATGGTTTTTCTTTTCAAGGAGAAAAGAAAACCTCTCTCATTGTCAGAGAGGTTAACACAGTAGGAAACGGTGCTGTCTTGGCCTCAGGTGCATCTCCATGAGCCTGTGGAGGAGAGTGGGGTAGATGCGGGAGGGAAGCACAGGCGGAGGGAGGAAACCACCTCTCTCCATCCAGCGCACCTGCAGCCCTCCTTCAGCACCTCGGCTCACAGCGGACAGCGTCCCCATGAGGTGGTGGATGCGGGAACACCTGGCACGCTTGGTGTCTGTCCTTCCCAGTTAGAACTCAGACTCAGGGATGAGCTCAGGGCTCAGCCTGCTTTGGGCAGGGGAGCTCACAGTCCAAGGGCGGAGCTGGACCAGTGGCCCAGTGTTAGCGGGTGACACTGCTCTGTGTTTCTGTAACTTCCGTCGCTCTGAGAGTAAGATTTGCATCTGCCGTGTGTGCGCTCTGGGTTCGCATTATTCCCTGGTCTTTCACATCATCCTCTTTCTGCAGCCATGCTGGCTTCTGGATGTTTCTTGAGCACCTGATTGCTATGGGGCCTTTTCGCTCCCTGCTCCTCCTGCCTAGAATGTTCTCTCATGTACGCACATTGCTTGTTACTTTTCCATCAGGTCTCTGCTCAACGGGTTACTGCTTTTGTGAGGCATTCCCCGACCACCCTGTTAAAATGGTATATGACACGGTGTCACCTTGTCTTCAGTCCCTACCCGTCCCCTTCTGATTTCATGTGTGTCCATTGAGTTACCACTCCCAACACTATCAGCCATCTGTCTGCCTGCCTGTCATCTGTCCATCTGTCATTTCGGTACCTACATTTGTAATCTGTGTGCCAGCCTATCCGTCTGTCTGTCTACCATGGGAATGTGAGGCTCACAAAGACCAGGGGTCTTTTTTGTTTATGTGTGTATGGCAAGCATCTAAAATGATGCCTAGTTAATAGTTGTGGAAGGAAGGAAGGTGAAGGAGGGAGCATAGTGCATTTGGGAAAAAGAAATTAGGTGGGACGGGCCAGATTTTGTGTACTGTGCCTGAGGACTTGACGCTATCCTGAAGATGACCGGGTACTCCTTGAAGACTATGCAGAGGCCCAAGTGGAGAGGGTTTAGGGTTTGGGGAGGACTTTGGTAGCATATGGCCTATGGATTGCACGTGGAGGAATTGGAAAAACCCTGAGATTGATGTACATTTAGGAGAGGAGTCCATGCCAGTGAGATCTGACGTCTGTTTAGAAGGTGACAGTAACAGGACCTTGAGGCTTGGTCAGCGCAGGGGCGCGTGAGGCGAGGACTCCTGGCGACTGGTGCATGTGTAGGCCATCAGCTGCGTGGGAGATGGTCTCCAGTTCTGCTTTAGAGGATTAAGGTTTTCGTAGGTTAAAGATGGTGGGATTTGTCCTGCTTTTCACTTATTGTGTAGAGAATACTATGAAAATGTTATTCCTTATAGACTTTTAATTTTTTAAAATTCATACTACTGTCAATTTTGAATAAATAATGACTGATTAATTTACATATAAGGGAATCCTGTCCACCGGCTCTGCACGTGCTTGTGAACCTCAGCGGTGTTTCTTCAGGGCTGTCACGTCCTGTGACCCACACAGAGCACCTCCCTAGTGTCCTGTGGTGGCCACCCTGGAGGAGTGCCCCTGAGCGCTCGTGGGGCCACGATTCAGCCCGTTTGATTGTCTCACTCATGCCCTTATTCTCTGCTGTTTCCTGTTGTTAAAATAGGTTAGTCATGAATTTTCTTAATTTAGACATTTCACTAATATACTGTAAGTTACTTTTTCTTACAGCGTATGTTCACATATCATTTTTTAAAGTATAATATGAAACCTTAAGAGCTTATTGTAGTCTGTTGCCAGTGTACAGGTGTCAGGATTTTCTGGTGTGTGTTTTCCTGAGCCAGCATGGAAGATTTAAGATGCTAGAAAGGAAGAGTCTTGTGGCCCTCAGGAGATTTTGTTTTCTAAAATTCTTGGGCCACTCAGCTTACAGTAGAGGTACTTTGGATGCTTCAGTGATCAAATTACATCAGCCAAGAAGTAATTCTATTATCTCATAGATAATTGCCCTAATTAACAATCAATCCAGTCAGCCATAGAGCCTCAAATTTAATCTCTCTTGGCTATACTTTTCCATTTCACTTCCAAACCCATGGTCTTCCACTGTGATGAAGTCCTACTGGAATTCGTTGTAATAGTGTGCACCTCTCCTCTTTTTTAAGTAACTTTATTTGGAAACTTCAATTTGATTTGGAAAGTGAATGAATGCATCAATGAACAAACACATTTCCTGAGTTCCTAGAAAATGTCAAACTCTGTATTAGGAATTCTGTTACTTTTACTGGATAAGTCTAGGTTAGAGCTTCAAGGGAGTCTAGCTGTTTTTTACACCCATTTCCCCCAACCAGAAGTCCTAGAAAAGAAAACTTGCAGGTTTGTATTGTTTCTCTTTCTACCAGGACCAACTATGATACATTAAACAAACTTGGAGCAAACAGCTTCTTAATACAGTATGTTTAAAATGATTATTTCGTCTTGTGGTGAGCTGACACCCAGCTTTAAAAAGCACATCCTGGTTCATATGTGTGCACGGACCAGAGCGGCTGCCTTCCGGGGGCCTGCACTCACTCCCCCTGACACC